CCAGCCTGGCCATCATGGTGAAACCCCATCTTTAAAATAATAAAATAAAATAATGCCGGGCGCGGTGGCTCACGCCTGTAATCCCAACACTTTGGGAGGCCGAGGCAAGTGGATCACGAGGTCAACAGATCGAGACCATCCTGGTCAACATGGTGAAACCCTGTGTCTACTAAAAATACAAAAAATTAGCTGGGCACGGTGGCGCGTGCCTGTAATCCCAGCTACTCAGGAGGCTGAGGCAGGAGAATTGCCTGAACCCAGGAGGCGGAGGTTGTGGTGAGCCGAGATCGCGCCATTGCACTCCAGCCTGGGTGACAAGAGCGAAACTCCGTCTCAAAATAAATAAATAAACAAATAAATAAATAAAATAAAAAATAAAATAAATATAAAAAATAAAAAATGGGGACATGGACCAACAAGAAAATGCCCGCCCCATACAAGGGTGCCTTGTGGGAGGGGGACGCAGCCCAGGCGGGAATCGGGGCTCCCAGCCGTGCGAGGGGCTCCTGAGCGCGCGTGCCCCGCCGGAGGCCGCCCTGTTACCCCCGACACACACCCAGGTGGACCCAGGGTCAGCTCTAGCATCTGGGATTGCGTTCCCACCAGGTAGCCCGGGCGGCGGGGCGGGGCCTGCCCGGGAGCCACGTCCGGGGAGGGGCCAGGCAAGCAGAGGACCCGGCACGCAGGTGGGGCCGGCGGCGTCCGTGGCCGGGTAAGGCGGGCGCCCGCGGGAGGCAGCGCGCGGGGAGGGAGCTGTGACCCGGGTGGGGGCGCCACGGGAGCTCCCGGGGCGTGCGCGGGGACGAGGGGCCCTTGGCGGAGTTGGGGACGCCCAGGCGGGCGCGACGCCACGTGCAGCCTCCAGGTCCCCGGCGGATTCCAGACTCCCTCTCCGCCTCGTTTCTTCCCCGCCTCTGGATTTCCCTCCCCGCTCCCCGCCCCGTCCGGTCCCCTCTCACCCAGCGCGCCTCCCCCGCGCCCTCGCCTCTCTCTGCCTGGGTTTTGCTCTGGTCTGGTCATTATTTGTTAGTATTTATGCTGCAATTGAAATTACTCAGGGTAATAGATTAGATAATTAATAGCAGGGTTAGAACGGATGGAATAAAAAAGAGTCGAGTTTAATTAGGCCTTTTTGAGCAGCTGCGGTAATGGAGGCTGAAATTTGGGTTTGTGAAATGGTCTTTGGTGTAGACTTTTCCAGTCTAATTAGGTCTAGGAGAGGCGAAGCCAGATTCTGGCTTGTGTGGGGGTAGCCAGATTCCAGGCCTGGGTGGGGGTAGAGCGGTGAATTGTGGCTGAGTACAAACCTGGTATATTGGAGACGCCTGTAATGGGGGATTTCGTTTAATGGGGAGGCGCGCTGGGTGAGAGGGGATCGGACGGGGCGGGGAGCGGGGAGGGAAATCCTATGACATGAAGCTCTGTTGCTACTGAGAGGCCTGACGGAGGTGGTCACACCCAGGGCTGTGCGCTTTCCATAGAGGGGGCTAGTTTTTTTGGGGGGCGAAGCTGACTGTGTCAGCTCAAATGTTCCCTTGGGGTCTCAGGCTGGGCCGGGTCAGTGCCTGGGACACCCCCCCCCCACCCCCCACCCCCCCCCACCCCCGCAAGCTCCCTCACCCCAAACCTAAGAGGTAGGTGGAGTCATTCTGGTTTCACAAATGAGAAAACAGAGGCCGGGGCAGGTGCTCTGCTGATTCAGACTCAGGGCCTGGGGGGCCGGGCTGTTCGACACACGGAGTGGAAACCCCAGGAGTTAAAAGCACAAACTTTAAACCGAGCCACTAGCAGCATCGGAGGTCGCCAGCGAGACGGGGAGGCCCTGCCTTTCCCTGTCCCTTAATCCTGGGGGTCCTCCTGAGAATCCTTGAGGGCTCTGCCACACCCTAGCCTGGAAATTTCCCCGCTGCCTTGGGAGGAGAGTGTGAAGGCCTCAGAAGGAACCACACAGTCCGCCCGGGGGCAGGAAGGTGGGATAATTTGTCGGGGTGGGGACAGCGCCTTGGCCCCCGACTTAGGGGTTTTGTGGAAGAGGCCGTGTGGATTCCAGAGAGCTCTGTGCCGTCCCTCGCTGGCCTGTGAAATGCGGTGTTGACATTTATCCAGCTGAGAACTCAACACTTAATGCCTGCGTGGGTTCAGAAGTCCACGTCCTTTGATTGGCCTCTCCGTTGGCAGCTGTAGTGTGGGGTCCTGCTTTGATTCGCAGACTAACCATTCCGCAAACCAACACAGGTGAGGGCGGTAGGGCAAACAGGGATATGGGATGTGGGCCCGAGCCCAGCTAATTCTGTGGACAGTCCTCAGGGTCTCAGAATCTGCTTCTGTGTGATGGAGAGAAGGACTTGTGGGAGCTTAGGGAGGGCTTCCTGGAGGAGGTGGCCATTGAGCTGAAAGGTGGATGGGAGGTGGACGGGGAAGGGTCTGGAACCCACTGGCTAGGGGTACTTTGCTTGTGAGTTACAGGAGGAAACGTCCATGGAGTACCTGACGCAGGTGGTGGCAGTTTACTTGGATAACTTCTTTGGGTCATTGAAACTTTTTTTTTTTTTTTTTTGAGACGAGTCTCGCTCTTGTTGTCCAGGCTGGAGTGCAATGGCGCGATCTCGGCTCACCGCAACCTCCGCCTCCTGGGTTCAGGCAATTCTCCTGCCTCAGCCTCCCGAGTAGCTGGGATTACAGGCGCTCGCCACCATGCCCAGCTAATTTTTGTATTTTTAGTAGAGACGGGGTTTCACCACGTTGACCAGGATGGTCTCGATCTCTTGACCTCGTGATCCACCCGCCTTGGCCTCCCAAAGTGCTGGGATTACAGGCATGAGCCACCGCGCCCGGCTGAAACTTTTTTTTTTTAAAACAGTTTCAGCTCTTGTCACCCAGGCTGGAGTGCAAGGGCACGATCTCGGCTCACTGCAACCTCTGCCTCCCAGGTTCAAGCGATTCTTGTGTCTCAGCCTCCCTAGTAGCTGGGATTACAGGCTCCTGCCACCACATTCAGCTAATTTTTGTATTCGTAGAGATGGGGTTTCACAATGTTGGCCAGGCTGGTCTTGAACTCCTGACCTCCGGTGATCCACCCACCTCGGCCTCCCAAAGTGCTGGGATTACAGACGTGAGCCACCAAGCCCAGCGGAGTCATTGACACTTACATGACTTAAACATGCCTGGCACATCCTGCCATCTGCCTAATAAGCCAGTTCCAGGCTGAGCCACTCATGGGCACACCGTAGGTGATGGGCTTAAATAAAGGCGGCTTCAGTTAAAGAGAGGAGAGCAGGGAACTCAGGTCCTGTAGGCAGGCTCTTTCACCTCATTTAAAAAATCCCATCCCAGGCCGGGCGTGGTGGCTCCTGTCTGTAATCCCAGCACTTTGGGAGGCCGAGGTGGGCAGATCACCTGAGGTCAGGAGTTTGAGACCAGTCTGGCCAACATGAAGAAACCCTATCTCTTAAAAAATAAGTAAAAAGAAAAAAACCCATCCCATTCCCTGATTTTACCTTCATTTCACTGATAGGGAAACTGAGGCACAGGCCACATGAGAGTGAGCAAGAGAGGGTGAAGGAGTCAGAAGACCTGGTTTTTGGGCAGGTCACTCTCCCTCTGGGGCACTCGGTCTCCTCATTTGCAAAAGGGGTCATTGGGGGTTCTTCCCCATGGCGATGGTGGTCACCACACGGCCTTGAAGCCCTCCCTGCACGTTTAGCTGCCTGACTTCTCTCACTTCGTGAGGCAGGGACTCATATTACTGCCCCTCTCACAGAAGAGGAAGCAGACAACGAGGGTTAAGGTCTCATGGCTAGTGATTGGAGAGCGGGGCTTCGAAGCCAGCTGTGCTACAGCTGCATTGTCCCCTGAGTCCCCACCCTCCCACACCCACTGTGCTGAGCCACCTCCCAGGGCACCGAGGTGTGCCTCCCACGTGGGAGCTGGCGGTTGGTATAAATTGGAGCCATTTGAAGCCTGCCAGTGACTACCCTTCAAATCTATGTGAAATTAGCATGGGGATAGAAAATAGATGTCTTCTGACCTGCGAGGTGGCTCCCGCCTGTGATTCCAGCACTTTGGAAGGCAGAGGCGGGCAGATCATGAGGTCAGGAGTTCCAGACCAGCCTGGTGAAGATGGTGAAACCCCTTCGCTACCTAAAGATACAAAAAATTAGCCGGGCGTGGTGGTGAGCACCTGTAATCCCAGCTACTTGGGAGGCTGAGGCATAGGACTTGCTTGAACCGGTGAGGTGGAGGTTACAGTGAGCCGAGACTGTGCTATTGCCCTGCAGCCTGGGGGACAGTGCGAGAATCCATCTCATGTAAAAAAAAGAAAAAGGAAATAGATATTTTCCATTTCTTTCCAGATTATTTAACTTTTCCCCCTTGGTCCTTTGATTAAAACTGATGCTCAAGGAAGATGCACGGCGTGTATCCAGATGCTCCCCAAGGGCTCCCTGAGGTGCATTTGAGGGAGCCCCTCTGGGCCCGGCTCCGTGGGTGAGGATATCTCAGCTGCAGGGGAGTGCGCTGCTCCAGAGTCCTGCCCCAGCTGCCTTCACAGGGAGTGTCCCTGGAGCGTTGTGTCCAGATTTCTGTGTCCCTGGAAGGCAGAGAGGAACTGGCTAAGTGACTCTTTCTCCATGTCAGGTCTTTGGGCCTCTATTTTCTCACCTCTCAAATGGGTGTCTTGAGGCTGGGGAAGTAGAGGGTGGGGACAACCTCAGGGCTTGGGAGAGGCAGCCACTGCAGTGCTTATCCGGGATGGGGGATGGAGGCCGGGGATGGAGGCCGAGGCAGGTGGATCACCTGAGGTCAGGAGTTCGAGACCAGCCTGACCAACATGGAGAAACACCGTGTCTACTAAAAATACAAAATTAGCCGGGCATGGTGGCGCATGCCTGTAATCCCAGCTACTCTCAGGAGGCTGAAGCAGAAGAATCACTTGAACCCAGGAGGCGGAGGTTGCAGTGAGCCGAGATCGCGCCATTGCACTCCAGCCTGGGCAACAAGAGCAAAGCTCCGTCTCAAAAACAAAAAAGAAAAATCCAGAAACCGGGATGGGGCCTGACTTCCTCTCCCTTGACCTGGAGTAAGCTGCTGGCCACTTCGCCTGGGTTTCCTGTCTGTGGAAGAGGGGCAATGTCATTATTTACTCATGGGGCCACTGGGAGAATGAAATGAGTTGGTGCTTGCGAAGTGCAGGTTCCCATTCACTGGTATCGGTTCTGTCTCCTGACCTCGGGGGAGGTGAGAGAAGAATGCACTTTGTTTAGAGCCTGTGCTTTCCACGCCGAAGGCCAAGGCCAAGAAGTTCTTTCCTCCGTGCCCTGGACGGAGCAGTGGCTTTCCGGTGGGGAGGGGGGAGAGTGGAGCGGCGACTGTCCAGAAGGAACTGGTCGAGCAGGTCTGGATTCCAGAGACTCCTGGGTCGCTCCCCCTCCCTTCCGCCACCTGGCTGTAAAATGAAAACAAGCGAAGGAAACTGGGAAGGGGCAGGGGTTTGTCTCTGCTGCGGATCTGCTGTCTACCGGAAAGGTTGGCCCCCTGTGGCACTCGGGTGGGGCTTCCTGGAGGTGCCCCTGAGGCCCCTGTAGCTGGGGCTCCCACCTGACTCCGGAGCAGGTCCCAGGCTGTTATAATTCCTTGCATTTTATATTAGGGTTTATTTTTTCGTTTAAGTTCTTTTTATCTGTGGAGAGCTATAGACACTCAAAGGATGTTCAGTGAGCCTCCATCTTCCGTCTGTCATGGCCGCCCAGCAGCCCAGGTTGGCTTCGGTCGTCCTCTCCACCCTCACCCCTACCCCAGCCTCCTCCCCGACTCCCCTCCACCCTCTCACCCTAATCTCCCCTCCCTATTCCCCATAGTATTTTAGAGCCGCTCCTCAATCTCATACTTCCTAAATACTGCAAGGTGAATCCCTTTTTTAAAAAAAAAATTACCTCGGCTGGGCATAGTGACTCACCCCTGTAATCCCAGCACTTTGGGAGGCCGAGGCGGGTGGATCATCTAAGGTTGGGAGTTCGAGACCAGCCTGACTAACATAGAGAAACCCGTCTCTACTAAAAATACAAATTAGCCAGGCGCGTGGTGACGCACAGGCGCCTTGAGTCCCAGCTACTCGGGAGGTTGAAGCAGGAGAACCGCTTGAACCCGGGTGGTGGAGGTTGTGGTGAGCCAAGATCATGCCATTGTACTCCATCCAGCCTGGGCAACAAGAGTGAACCTCTGTCTCAAAAAACTCTTCCAAGGCCGGGCGCGGTGGCTCAAGCCTGTAATCCCAGCACTTTGGGAGGCCAAGGCAGGTGGATCACGAGGTCAAGAGATTGAGACCATCCTGGTCAATGAGGTGAAACCCCGTCTCTACTAAAAATACAAAAATTTAACTGGGCATGGTGGCACGTGCCTGTAATCCCAGCTACTCGGGAGGCTGAGGCAGGAGAATTGCCTGAACCCAGGAGGCGGAGGTTGCAGTGAGCCGAGATCGCGCCATTGTACTCCAGCCTGGGTAACAAGAGCGAAACTCCGTCTCAAAAAAAAAAAAAAAAAAAAAAATTTCAGCTTTATTTAGGCATAATTAACAAATGAAAATAGTACCCATGTACAGAGTTCAGCGTGATGTTTTGATACATGTGTGCATTGTGATGTGTTAAGCTTCAGTACTGCCCAACTTTTTCACGTTATTGCCATATTATTATCATGTTTAAAACACTTAGCAACAGCCGGGCGCGGTGGCTCACGCCTGCAATCCCCGCACTTTGGGAGGCTGAGGCAGGTGGATCACAAGGTCAAGAGATCGAGACCATCCTGGTCAACAAGGTGAAACCCCGTCTCTACTAAAAATACAGAAAAAAAAAAAAAAACCACTTAGCAACAATGTTTTTATTTTTTCCTGTTTTCGAGACAGGGTCTTCCTCTGTTGCTCAGGCTGGGTGATTATAGCTCACTGCAGCCTCAAATTCCTGGGCTTACGGGATCCTCCCACCTCAGCATCCTTAGTAGCTCAAACTACAGGTGCACACCAGCCTGCCTGGTTAATGTTTTTTTTTGGAATGGAGTCTCCCTCTATCGCCCAGGCTGGAGCGCAGTGGTGCAATCTCGGCTCAGTGCAGCCTTTGCCTCCCAGGTTCAAGCTATCCTCCTGCCTCAGCCTCCTGAGAAACTGGGATTATAGGTGCCCGCCACTACGCCTGGCTAATTTTTTTTTTCTCATATTTTTAGTAGAGATGGGGGTTCACCATGTTGGCCAAGCCGGTTTCGAACTCCTGAGCTCAACTGATCTGCCCACCTTGGCCTCCCAAAGTGCAGGGATTACAGACGTGAGCCATACTGCCCCCAGCCTGTGCTGCTTTTTCATGGGTGCCAGTGGCTTCCACCTCAGGTACAGAGGGAGTGGGAACAGGTGGGAGGTACAAGGCCCCCTGAACTTCTCCGGGTACCTGTGGCAGTTTCCTGTCTGGGAGGGCAGGTCTCTTTGGGCTGGCTAAAGCATCTTTCTGTCAAGAGGCATCTGAAGGCCAAGGCTGGGTATATGGGGGCTCCATGAATCCCACTTTAATTTCCCAGAAGGTAGTTTTTTTTTTGGGGGGGGGGAGGAAGGCAGGAAGGAAGGGAATAAGGACGGTAGGGAGGAAGGGAGGAAGGAAGGGAGGAAGTGGGGAGGGAGGGAAGGAAGGGAAGGAAGGAAATCAAGCAATGAAAGAGACATTGCCGACCTGGATCTAGAGGTTTACAAGTTGATTTCTTTTTTTTTTGAGAGAAGGAAAGAAAAAAAAATAATAATAATAAGTAAAGGAGAGGAAGAAAGAGGAAGAGAAAGAGGGAGAGTAAATGGAAATATTGCTTTATTTTGAAAAAAATTGGGTATTAATAATGGCCAATCAATGTTTCATTTAAACTAATGGGTAGGTGTGATGTGGTATTGACAAGAATGTATATTTTGTGTATTTGAAGTGGAGAGCTCTATAAATATTTATTAAGTTTACTTGTTCCGGATCTGAGTTCGAGTCCTTGATATCCTCATTAATTTTCTGTCTCATTGAATCTAAGTCTCTGTGTATCTGGGTGTTAGGATCGTTAGCTCTTGTTGTTGCATTGATCCTTTTACCACTATATCTTTGTTGCTTTAAAATCTATTTTATCCGCTACGAGAATTGCAACTCCTGCTTTTTATTTATTTATTATTTATTTTTGCTCTCCATTTGGTTGGTACATCTTTCTCCATCCCTTTGTTTTGAGTCTTTGTGTATCCTTGCATGTGAAACAGGTCTGGATGTAACATGCCGTTGGGTTTTGGCTGTGTCTTTTGATTGGGAATTCAGTCAATTTAAATTTAGGGTTACTGCCATTTGATGTTGACCGACTGTTTTATCCATTTGTTGGTGTAAATTCTTCTTTATGTTGGTGCTCTTTACTTTTTGGTGTATTTTTAGAAAGGCTAATACTGGTTGTTTGTTTCTGTGTGTAATGCTTCTTTCAGAAGCTCTTGTAAAGCAGGCCTGGTGGTAATAAAATCTCTGAGTACTTGCTTGTTTTATAAAAGATTTTATTTTTCCTTCAGTTGTGAAGCTTAGTTTGGCTGGATATGAAATTCTGGGCTGAAGGTTCTGTTCTTTGAGGATGTTGAATATTGGCCCCCACTCTCTTCTGGCTTGTAGAGTTTCTGCTGAGAGATCTGCTGTAAGTCTGATAGGCTTGCCTTTGTGGGTAACCTGACCTTTCTCTCTGGCTGCCCTTAGTATTTTCTCCTTCGTTTCAACCCTGGTGAATCTAACGATTATGTGCCTTGGGGTTGCTCTTTTTGAGGAATATCTTTGTGGTGTTCTCTGTATTACCTGGGGTTGAATATTGACCTGCTTTGCTAGTTCAGGAAAATTTTCCTGAATAATATCCTGAAGGGTATTTTCCAGCTTGGATTCATTCTCTCCGTCGCATTCAGGTACACCTATCAAACGTAAATTTGGTCTTTTCACATAGTCCCACATTTCTTGGAGACTTTGCTCATTCCTTTTTATCCTTTTTTCTCTAATCTTTTCTTCACGTTTTATTTCATTAAGTTGGACTTTGACCTCTGATATCCCTTCTTCTGCTTGAACAATTCGAGTGTTTAAACCTGTGCATACTTCTCGGAGTTCCTGTATTGTATTCTTCAGTTCCATTATTTCACTTATATTCCTCTCTAAGTTGTCCATTCTCAATAGGATTTCATCAAAGCTTTTTTCAAAGTTCCTAGTTTCTTTACGTTGGGCTACAACATGTTCTTTTAACTCACAGAAGTTTCTTATTATCCATTCCCTGAAGCGTGATTCTGTCATTGGGATGCGCTCGTTCTCCCTCATCCTTGTTCCATTGTTGATGTGGAACTGTGATCATCTTTAGAGGGAGAGGCGTTCTGATTTTGAGTATTCTCAGCCTTTTTGCGCTGGTTTCTTCCCATCATTGTAAATTTATCCTCCTGTCGTCTTTGAAATCACCAACTTTCAGATTAGGTCTCTTGAGTGGACGTCCAAGTTGTTAGTTCCCAGGGCCAGAATGGCGGCGTTAAGACTGATGGTGCTTTTCTGCCCAGGATTCTCCTGTCGGGCTTCCTTCTTGTGTCCGTAATGGGCGACTCTGCCTTCCCGGGGCTCCAAACCTCGGTCAGAAGGGGAACCGGTCCCGTTTACTCTGCGCCAAAAGCTGCCGCGCGGAGGTGCCGGCGGAACTGCTGCGCCGACCACGAGAGTCACGCTGGCGACTCCTGTGTTTCCACCACTGGGGGGATCTTCTGCTCCGTGAGCGACCAGACTTTGAAAGTGTGGCGTCCTCTAGTTCTCCGCGCCTTCCCCGAGAGCTGCAATCCCGGGTTGTTAGCGATTGGCCATCTTGGATCCTTGGTCCCAGAAGGTAGATTTTAATTGAGACAGTCACTGAAGTGAACTTTAGCCAATGATGATGAAAATTGGCTAAAACCGTCTGTCGATCACTTCGTGCAGGACTGTGCATTCGGAGGGGGGTGGGGTGAGGGAACGTGGCGTGTGCAGAGGCCCTGCGGTGGCAGTGGGGGGCGAGTTTGAAGGGCAGCGGGGAGGCCTGTGTCCCAGGGCCGAGGGAGAGGAAGGCCTCGACATACAGAGGGTTCTCATGGAAGGTTGACTGGGCACTTGGGATATTCAAGGCGGAGCTGGGGGAGAGGTCGGGCCTGAGATCCAGGTTTGGGAGTGGAGGACACGGATTTACCACCCTCCCTTTTTTTTTTTTGAGATGTAGTTTTGCTCTTGTTGCCCAGGCTGGAGTGCTGTGGTGTGATCTCGGCTTGCCGCAACCTCTGCCTCCTGGGTTCAAGCAATTCTCCTGCCTCAGCCTCCCGAGTAGGTGGGATCATGGGCGTCACCACGCCTGGCTAATCTTGTATTTTTAGTAGAGTTGGGGTATCTCCATGCTGATTAGGCTAGTCTCAAACTCCACCCACCTCAGCCTCCCAAAGTCCTGGGATTACAGGCATGAGCCACTGCACCTGGCTGGATTTACCATTTTTTAGGGAGAAGAGAGAGCCC